GCGGGGGCGATGAGGGGGCGGGGTTGCGGGGCCGGTGGCGGGCCTGCGGGGTTAGGCGGCGGGGTACCCGGGGCTGGGCGGCGGCGGGGGTCGTCCGGCGGTGGCGGGGTTGGATGAACCCCGCGGCGGGGGTCCGGGGTCCGCAGCCTAACACCGGCTTTGCCCCCGGGGTTCCCCGCTCGACAACGCTGGTTGTAGGGATTAAAATTTTTTACAACCCCATATATTTTTATTTTTTTTCCTATTATTTAATTCAGGAAACATCTCGTAAAATCAGGTCCGCGGAGCGGACCACGTCGGCTGCGGACGCGGCCACATATGCGGCCGCCATCCGAGATCGGGCCCGCGGACGCGTCCGCGGGTGTTTCATAGGAGCCACGGACCTTGACAACCGGTAGGTACTGCTTGTTTAAGGGGGCGATACTGTCGGAGCCCAGTTCCAACTGCGGTGAGAGGTGCATGAGCAAGAAGCGCGGCGCAACAAGATTTCAGAGCATCTAAATTTATAGTCTAAATCCTATTTGCAAATAGAAATTCCGAAAAGCTAAAAAAAAACAATTTCAAGAGCCCGTCATGATGTGCGTCATCCATTGTAAATTTGAAAACGACATTCCCGCGCACTAATCGCGCCAAAATTCCCATCTCCCACAGCAGAACAAGAAAGAAGGTATGACGACCGTTATTTATCGCGCTTACTAAGGCGCGGTCACTCAATCGTCGTCGTGGGACTTTCCCGACCCTGGTCCCGATAGCAAAAAAGAAAGAAGCGAACGTATCCATGTAACTTGTCCGCCAACCCCTATCTATGCATTCCACCCGACCAACCAGTTCCCAACCCCCGAAGCCACTTCGCGCAGAAAGTCATGCGATTTCAGAAAATAGTTCGTCACACTACCAGTATCGAGGGCCAACTTGGACCAGACAACACCAAGGCCGGGCAACCCTCAAGCCCTAGTGGAAGCGGAAACGGACGAACCTTGCCGTACGGGAACTTCAGACGCCAGGGTCATGCAATCTTCTACAGGCCCAATATCTGAGAGTCTACCCAGCAAGATTACCTAGGCAAGGCAAGTTGGCGCCCACGAAGACATCCTACCGTCCTTCCCCTAACTTACCCAAGGCTAGGCAGAACTCAGACTAGCCGGAGCGACTAATATCCGTACCCTACCCTTATGTCTAAGCCATGGATGAGCAGACCCCGTCATGTCCTGATTGACCCCCCAACCCGGTATTATAGTTGTACGTATATGTGTGCCCAAAGGCTATGCATGTATGGGCCCATAGGCTGTGTGTATGTTCACAAGCCATGTTTTTTTGTATATGCCCGGAGGCAGGCCAAGCTGGACAAGAACCCCCACCAAGTCTTACGCCAGACTCGAACCCGTGATCTATGACATGTGATTGGAAGACTCTACCATATCAGCAACAATCGCAAACCACACCTATGTGCGATAAGCCAGACTGGGGAGATCTATGTAAATCTCCATATAACTGTCATTTCGTCAAAATGGACATCTTTTATTTTTTGAACGAAATTGAAACCGAGTTTTTTGGCCGAAAACTCGTCAAAATTTGTTGTTCCTGAGGGTCCGGCGTTTGTAAAGCGCTGGACCCCCTGGCTGTACATGGACCTAGTTTGAGACCAGGTATGCGCTTTGGTACCGCGTACGCGTATGCGCGTACCTCTTATCAGGGCCCGCGTACGTGGTGGTAGCGGGCCAGTTGGGGGCCCGGTTTTGGCCCCGTGGGCCTAGGGGTGGGCGGGGGTAGCCCGCTGAGGACCAGAGCGGGGTGGAGGGGTGGCGCGGGGCGGGGGGAAGAGCGTCCCGGCACGATTTTCGAATTCGTGCCGGGAAGGTCTACCCCCCCAAGCCGCGTCACCCCTCCACCCCGCTGCAATCCGTCCTCGTCATCCTGGTCGTCGCAATCGCCCTCGTCGTCACCATCACCAGCTGTCGTGTCGCTATCGTGGAGCTGTCGTGGAGCTGCCGCCATTGCCCTGGTCGTCGGCCTTGCCATCTGTCGTCCGTCCTCATCATCCTTGTCCTCACCATCGCCCTGGTCGTCACCATGGCCATCTGCCGTGGAGCTGCTGTGGAGCTGCCGCCATTGCCCTGGTCGTCGCCATCACCGTCTGTCGTGCCGCGCCTGTGCCCGGAGTCGCCATCGTTGGTGAATACTTTCTTTCTCCTCCTCCTCTTCGTCCTCCTCGTCGCCCTCCCCGTTGTCCACTTCGTCCTTCCCCTCCCCATGACCATCTTCGTCGTTCTTCTACTCTTCATTGCCATCTTTGTCCTCCTCCTCCCCATTGTGATCTTCGTCATCCTCCCCCCCGTCGTCCTCTTCCTCCTCCTCCTCCCCATCGTCGACTTCGTCCTCCCTGCCACGTCGTTTTTTTTTTTTTTTTTTTCTTAAATCGCGTTGAAGTTCGCGACGACGAGGGGAGGAGGAAGACGACAATGGAGGACGAAGCGTCGACTTCCTCCTCCTCCCTTGCCACGTCCTCCTCCCCGTCGTCTTCCTCCTCCTCCCCATCGTCGACTTCGTCCCCCATCGCTGACTTCCTCTGCCGATCGTCTTTGTCGTCTTCTCCTCCTCATCGCCCTCTTCGTCCTCCTCCTCCCCATCATCCTCTTCCTCCTCCTCCGATCTGCCTCTTCCTCCCCTCCCCAATGCTGACTTCCTTCGTCCTCTTCCCCCCTCTCCTCCCGATCTGCCTCTTCCTCCCCTCCCCAATGCTGACTTCCTCTCCTCCTCCCGATCGTCTTCGTCGTCTTCCTCCTCCCCATCGCCCTCTTCGTCCTCATCCTCCCCGTCGTCGTCCTCCTCCTCCTCTTCCCGATCCTCTTCCTTCCCTCCCGATCGCCGACTTCCTCCTCCTCCCCGTCGTCCTCTTCCACCTCCTCCTCCCAATCTCCCTCTTTCTCCCCTCCCCATCGCGGACCTCATTCCCTCCCCATCGATGACTTCCTCCCCTCCCCATCATTGACCCCCTCCTCCTCCTCCGATCTTTCTCGTCCACCTCCTCCTCCTGATCTTTCTTGTCCACCTCCTCCTCCCGATCTCCCTCTTCCTCCCCTCCCCATAGCTGACCTCATTCCCTCCCCATCG